AGAATCTAAGAATACAGTCTTAAAAAGAGGAGTTTTTAGCATCTTCTTAAAACTAGCTAGTGTGGAAGCATTTCTTACAGAATAAGGGACAGCATTCCATAACCTGGGTGCAGCAACAGAGAAGGCTGTCTCCCCCATTTGATTTTAATCTACAGCAGGGGTGTCCTAACTCGGTCCTGGAGGGCCGGTGTCCTGGAGGGTATGGCTCTAACCCTAATCAAACACACCTAAACCAGCTAATCAAGCTCTTACTAGGTATACTAGGAACTTCCTGGCAGGTGTGTTGAAGCAAGTTGGAGCTAAACTCTGCAGGACACCACAGGGAATGAGAAGGTGTGTACTAAGAGGCAATGTCACAGATGTAGGAAGGAGCTGTGTGTAGAGCTTAATATGCAAGTGTGAGTGTTTTAAAAATGATCTGGGACTGAACTGAGAGAGAATGCAAGCTATAAAGCACACCAGTGATGTGCTGCCGTGGTGGAGTGTGTATAAGAATGCCTGCTGCTGAGTTTTGAATGTACCGCAATTTGATTAATTTATCAGGTAAACCAACAAAGACTGCATTACAATGGTCAATCCTGAAAGTGATAAATGCATGAATGAGTCTTTCAGCATCAGGTTGAGTAAGGGAAGACTTTGTTTTTGCAATATTCCTCAGATGATGATGAGCAGATTTTGCAATGCTCTTGATGTGCGAGTCTAAGAACAGATGAGTGTCAAAAATCACACCAAGGTTACATGTTTTGGTAGATGGACAGACGACAGCATTATCCAAATTCAATTTAACTTGCTATCTTTGACAGTAGCTGCTGCTGTGGAAATAAAGAGTACCTCTAATTTAGAACAATTCAATCTTAGAAAATTTCTGTGCCTCAACATTTTAATTTCTTGCACACACTCTGAGAGAATTAAGACAAATTGGATTTGGAGCTGATATAAATTAGGGTATCATCAGCATAAAAGTGGTATCCCAGTCCACATGATATGCCCCAGTGGAAGCATATAAATGCTAAAAAGTATGGGACCAAAGACTGACCCCTGAGGGACACTATGGCATATTCTTCCGATTCCGGATTAATTATTCCAAATTTTGTGTTTGTTTTTACATTTTGCATTTAATTTTCTTTTGATATCTCTATTAAACTTGCACTGCTTTGTAAAACATTTTGGTCAGTCTGGTGGCTTTTGTAAATGTGCTATGTAAATAAAATGAACTTGAACTAAACAGTAAGTTAAAAAAAAGGTATTTAGTGCAATTTAAGTAACTAAAAGTCCCATAGATGTACATTATGCCTAGATGCAGAAACTTGAAGATCCAGAGTCAACCAGCATTTTTTTCCTGCAACCTGTTCTGCAAAACAGATAAAGCCCATACTATCTGAATCTGAGACAAAACCCAAAAACACGATGTTTTACAATGCTTGGCTCTTGCCCTACTACACTGCATGCATCAGGGAGTTTTGTTCTAAAGTGCAACCATGAGACACGTGTCTTGTTTTGCAGGAATCACCTGAGAGGCACATTGCTGTGTCACAGAAGAAAACACAAAGCTACAGCACAGCCCTCACAGGAGGAAAAAGCCCTCGCAACAGTTTGACTTTTTACCTAGATGAAGAGTGAAAGAGCAACTGATCAGACAGCTGAACCTGTGACTGCACCAATCAGAGAATTGAAGATATCTGCCTGATTTATGTTGTGCTTTCCCCATTTAAGAAAAATGTAACATGCCAATCTGATTCATTGTATTCTTCATGTATTTTAAGTAATTCTGGATTTATATGGAGCTTTTACTACTCACTGTTATGAAACTCTGGAAGGAAACTGTGCAATCATTAGCATAATCATGCCATGGCATGTCCAAGGCAAGTTCTGTGGCAAAGTCACATATCAGTGTTTGTGTGCTGAACATTACCATAAATAACAGTTTAAAGTATGGCATGAGATGCCTTGTATAATCATGTTACACAATTGTGAATCAACATGTTATGTAATATTTCAAAATTATATTGTTGGTTGTTCATAAAAGTTGTCCGAATGGTTTTGACCAGAGAAAGTGTACTTTGTTTCATTTATTGAAGTCATTTTATAGAAATATTTAGGTGATTCCAAAGAAATATTAAGGGATGAACCATTGCAAATTTATATACAGAGGCCGTACCCATGTCATTGACAAATTTGTGTCCTCACAACCCACTAAACCCAATACACACACACTATTACACACAAATATGTGGATCGCTGGAACAGATTTCAAAGGAACTTGTCATGAAGTGAACACTGGTTTTGATGATTTATGTGGACTTTTCATAGTCATAATGTATTTTATACTGTAAAAACACTATTTGGACTTACAGTACACCTAAATCCAACCCTCAAATTATGAATGCGAAAACCTCATCAAGTATGATTTTTAACAGTTTTGCATTACGAGGACACAATGCATGTCCTCATAAACCATTGTACATTGTAATACAGAGGCCACGCCATTGCACAATCTTGTGTCCTCACAAACCACTAAAACCAACCCACACACACAAACAATTATGTCTCATTTGAATGGGTTTGTGTTACTCTCAAATTAATTTAATTTGAAGGTGGTTGCCAAGGGATTACTGTTTTATTGCTGATTAAATACTTGATTATGGATTTTAAGGTAGTTGTATTAATATGATATATAAGATATCATTTTAATTTGTAACTGTTTTAATGTGTATTTGAAATGTTATCAGTTTTATCATTTTCAACTTATACAGGGTTCTCTACAAGCCAGTAAATCAGTGATGACCCAATTTATGAATCACACTCTACAATGCAATACAATTTCTAATGTTAAAGCAAACTGAACATTCTGTCAGCGTTTACTCGCCCTTTACTTGTTCCAAACCTGTGATTCCATAGAAATGTGTCCATAAATAAGGTTTATATGGTCAACGTTGTAATTAAAAAAGTAAAAAAAAAAAGATTTTCTCTATAAAATCAAATTATCTATAAGTCATGACAAAATACTATTATTTATTAAATCAAGTTTAATAAGTATCTTCATTTAATAAGTAGCTTTTTAAAGTTAAGTCAGTGGAACTGAATATAACTTGAGTTAAAGTGAACTTAAAAAATTAAGTAAATCGTGTAAATTTTGTACTGTGTGAGCGGCTTTTTAAATACTTTATTACCATTCAGGTGGACAGCATCATGTGACATCGATCACAACAAGCTGATTCAACGTCTTTTGGTGTCTGAAAACGGCTATTTGATGTTTAACGTTACATGAAAAACGAAACATTTCAGTAAGTTACTCTTCATCTTAAAAACTCCACATGGTTCTTTTTTTATTATGTTTTTGGTAACTATTTGTATTGATAAGGGGAGATATCTGTTTAACGTACTTCTGTGGTGTTTGTGGCAGCTAGTTTGCGCTAGGCTATGATATCGCGCCGCAAAAACGCGTCAATTTGGTATTTGTATAAGTTTCGAAATAGTGTTCACAAAAAAAATAAACCTGAAGCTCCTATAAATCAAAACCACTTTGTTTTCCTTAGCTTGTAATCGCGTTTAAAGCAATTCGTTTCAATGGAGGCGTCACGGACTCATCAGGCCCACGCTCATTTGTGGCGTTGTTGAAAAAACAGCAGTAAAAATGTGATAAATGTTGCAAAACGAGTGCAAACCACGGAATAACGTTACTTGTGCCCAGATTTTTCAATTTATAAACCGTCAAGCGTTCCAAACCTATTTGATAACAGTTCATAAAGAAAACATTTAAAGATATTATCAATTAAAACTGAAAATGTCATTACTCATCCTTATTACATTGTCACAAGCCTGTTTGAGTTTCTTCTGTTGAACAGAAACTATTTAGATAAATGTTGCAAACCTAAAACCATTGACTTCCATAGCATTTCAATGTGTTCGCCGGGTCTTAAAAAGTCATGTCTTAAATTCACTTAAATATTGTGTTGTAGGTCTTAAATCATTTTAAGCATGTCTTAATTGGGTGATATCCATCCAATCACTTACAATCCATCTCAATAAAATCTTATTTTTATATTTAAGTTTTTGTTTTTTTAATTGCAAGGCGATACAATTCACAGGCGAAGCAGTAGCACAGTAGGTAGTGCTGTCGCCTCACTGCAAGAAGGTCGCTGGTTCTTGGGTAGGCTAAATTGTCTGTAGTGTATGAGTGTGAAAGTGTGTGTGTGGATGTTTCCCAGAGATGGATTGCGGCTGGAAGGGCATCTGCTGCGTAAAAACTTGCTGAATAAGTAGGCGGTTCATTCCGCTGTGGTGACCCCGGATTCATAAAGGGACAAAGCTGACAAGAAAATGAATGAATGAATACAATTCACAACAGCTATTAGACATTTTTACAGCAAATTCCCCATTAAAAAGGAAAACAAAAAATAATGACATGATTCCTCATGATAAGTCCAGTAATAAACTGAAGGGGGAAAAAAACTTGTACAAGTCTAAAATTTTGTTTTTAATGGTCTTAAATTTGACTGGATAAAACCTGCAGAAACCCTGTATTTGTTTTCCCTACTATGAAAGACAATGGTTACAGGTTTTTACAATTTTTCAAAATATTTTTTTTTGTATTCAAAAGTAAAAACTAAAGAAAACTCAAAGGTTTGGAACCACTTGAGGGTGAGGAAATATAATTTTTTGGTGAACTATGCCTATTCAATACATTAAATTCACAAACTATGCAAGTTAATAAGCCATATTTGTGATTCGATTTTAATGTGCATGTGCAGTACAAAGGAACGTTCCACAATGGGGGCCCCTGGTTTCGAAAAGAAGTAATAACATTAAAATCAGACAGATTTTACAACATATGACAGAAAATTTATCAAAGAGCTATATGATTAATATTGGTTTCTTGGCATTGGCCTCCTAATTCTCCAGGGCTGCTTACCTTGCTTATTTGTCAAGTTTACCCCCGGGACCTACAAATGGATGTTGGTATATTTCAAAGACGCTCAAAAATAAGTGACAATTATGACTTAATATAGAGGTTATTTTATTTGTTTATTATAAAATACAAAAGTTTTCACATATTACATAAACATATGGACCAAAGACTCCTCCACAATCCAGAGTGTTCCAGTCCACAGCGTAAACCAGAAATGCATCACCTGCTGTTGAAATGTGAAGTGTTTGTTTGCCCTTTAACCTCTCGCTTCTGATTTATAGTATCGTTAAATGAGCCGTAAAGACGTCACTAGAATTAACATACCTAAAACTTCCAAGACGTTTCATTAAAATGCGATTCTTAAAATGTCACTGCTTGCCAGTTTTTACTTTGGTGTCCATGCATTATAATACAGTTAATTCAAGTGTTTATAAACTACACAATGTCAGCAACACAATGTCAATGCACTAATGGTCCTCTTCTGAGCTTTAAGAGGTCGTCATTAATCGTCGTGGGGTCCGAAAACACCAAAGTCAACGTTCAAAGGCATGACTCTGAAAACACACGACCCAGACCCGCTTGGACGTGAAATGGCAAAAAAGCTGCCTTGGAGACACATACAGTACAACAGTTACAAGCCTTAAAACATTCAATGATAAGGTGCTTTTCATTTCAAACCGGTGCCTACGTGTGTGCGTGTGGTTTATGACAGTGTTTTCCGACACTCAAACAGCAGAGGATAAATCTCCTCCACGGCAGACGCCACACTCTGTACATTTGGTCCTAGAGAGAGGAAAAGGGGCTCATTAATAATAAGATTCAATTTGAGTTAAGCTTTTCTTTGTTACACAATAAAACAAGCTCTGAATAACAGTCGGTCAAAATCGGAACATATATTTGTCAACATTTTACTGTTTGATAAAGTTCTTATATGTAGCAATAATAATTAAATACAATAATAAACCACATGCATTTTTCATTCCATTTCAAAGACAGCGAGGTAACCATTGAAGCTATAAAAGTTTTAAACAGAGCTTTAACTTTTTACGCTAGAACAGAAATGCCCAAGTTTCACAGGCCAAAGTTGGCACATGGCATCCTTTGATTTGTCCCACCATCCGGTCTGAGAAGAGATCAACATTTCTACAATAACATAAGCTGTTTTTTGTTTGTTTGATTTATTGTTCAGCTACAAAAAAAGCCAACTGAAACTAAATGGTTAAATGAAATGGATCTGTAAATGAATTTGATTTGTTAATGTAAATATTGTCACTCGATGGACAGAAGACAATGCAGAAAACATCAGAGAGCAAAAACAGGTGTTCCAGTGATTGTTTTTAATATATTAAGTTAATTCTAAAATATAAACAATTATACTGTATTGGTTAATATGAAGCAATGCTTTTTTTATTTATACAATATTAAATAATAGGGCTGGGTGATTTGGCCTAAAATCTAAATCTCGATTAACTTAAAATATTAACTCTATTACGATTAAGGACAATTATTTTATTTATTTATTTTTGCCCTTATAGTTCACGGACAAGTTTTGTACAGTAAATATGCTCACGTTACAAGTGAGAGATTTCTGAATGAAAGGTGCATTACTTGATTTAAAACAATTGAAGGAAACACACACTATCTACTATCTATGATTATTTATTTAACATTAATGCTGAACAATTAAAATTAAAACACACACTGCTAAAACCAACAGTCACTTTTTTTCTAATAAAAAAGTAAAAATAAACTTTTGGAAACAAAACTAATTATATTGACTTTTTTATAAGAAAAAAGTAGAAAATAATAGAATATGTTCTGTTAAATAATTTGTATCCCTGAGCAAAGTATAAGAAATATTATATGGTTTTACTATGATTTACTTTAGACACCCATTAAAATGTTGTTTAGTCTAATAATGTTGATATACAATAAAAAAAAAGTAATGCATATTTAACAATAATAATTTATTTACTTAAAAGCATCTATTTAGGGATCACATGAGGTTAAAAATACTAATTATTCATTTATTTTATATATAATACCCTTACTTTAAAATAGTTTTTCAATGAGTTATTTGTTTAATAATTTAATATGATTACTTATTTTAGATATTTTAATAAGTACAAAATTATTCACTACAAAAAATATATGTTGCATAGTTTTTATAATAATTTAATCATAAATATATCCATTCAAATTCGGGCTGCACAATATTGGAAAAATCTGATATTTAATTTGTCTTCAATATTGCAACATGAATCCAGTTTCACAAAATAGTTTGAATAGCTCTATTTGACAGTCTTCTGGGCAGCCTAACAGTATTTAGGCAAAGAAATTTAATAATCACAGTGCAAAACATGTTTTTTTCCCTTTGGTTCATCATGTTTCTAGTCCAAATATCTGATAGTTATTAGATCAAGTAAAAATATTGTTTTGTTTTCAACAGAATATATAAGTTAAAATTAAGTAAAATGATCTGCCAGTGGGGTAGGAAAAATAATATTGTTATTGCTTTTTAAATATAGATATTTGGACAAGAAACAAGAAGAACTAAGTGAGAATTTTGCATAAATAGTATATATTTAGTATCCATACAGTGAATAAATACAATTCTGTGCCTCCTGGTTAACTATAATTCAACCTTATCATTGCATATCTTGCGATGTGACTATTTCGGATGCATACATTGCGATATCGATGCTTAAACAATATACTGTATTAGTGGATATAGATATAGAAATTCAAATGATGATAAAACCCTTTCGCCCATATATCACATTCATTATTCAAATATGCATTTAACAATCTGCGGTCTATGTATGTAAAATCAATTTTGCATGATTCAATTGTAGACAAAAATGTAACCCATACATTGGTGTATAAATGTTTTCATGCAGACAAAAATAGAACAAACTCTAAAATATATAATAACTTAACACAAAATAATCTAAATAAAAATAATTTTAAAAAGCCAATTTAAAAAAAATTACTCTTTCAGGATGAGCTAAAGAGACGAAGGGTTCAGATGCAAAAACCTCTAAATGCCATGTGAAATTTCTTCTAAATTTAGCCTCTCGGGTTCCTATGTCTTGATTCAGTGATTTCACTTTTATGGCAAAGAATAGGTTATTTTCATTGCTTTTAACATGGAATAACTGAACATAAACATTAGACGCTGAAAAAAATGTTTATTGTAGAAGAAAATTCCAGATGGCACTTTTGCATCTGTAGTCTTCATATATAGATATGCAAATGTTTAATGTACATATAAAACACTTGGAAACAATTACAAGTGACTTTTCCTCAGTACTCCAGAGCTACTCGATTTCTGTGGGTTGCCTTGAATGTAATGCAGCGAATCAAGGAATAATTCTTTAAAGTATGTGGCTAATGCAGTAATCTGTATGAGCCTTACAAACCCTGATTATGATAGCTGGA